TGGTGTTTTTGTGGTGTTGGTTGTAATAGACCTGACTGGACCGTTGAAGTCGGCAGCAGCCCGGACTTCCAAATTGTGGTAATCTCCAGCGGCGTCACCCACAGTCACTTTCTTTCTTCTTCACAATGACAGTCTATTAACTTTATCGTACAATTAACTAACTTCCAGACGCAACTAACTCCTGTTTATTATAAAGCGTAACACACAACACGAATACCGAATGTTCGGATCAAAGGCCACTTCCGTTTCTCGTGGCAACAATTATTTCTAGAACCTAACACGACCTTCTCTAGTGTTACGAAGTTCAGCGTTCACCCGACAACGGAAAATGTCTCCGAACTATATCAAATGCCGCACGAGCAAATTAATATTGTCAAATGCACTTATATACGCTATCAAATTATAATAACCAAATTCGCGGTAAATTAAGCGCGCACAACCCACAAATTCAGACGTTGATCGCAATCAATGTTAACTTCCTAACAATTTGTCAACCCGGCGTCTAATATTAGACTACAATTCCTCGTCGTTGCACCATTTGCTAACAAAACTGACTCTAAAAAATGGAGGGTATACCGAGCGACTTCACGACGTGCTATCGATAGCACTGCATTCGAGCAACTAACTTTCTGAGCTCGCGCCCTCTACCAAAGATACCAGTTTCAGTATATAAAAGTACTCTGTGAAAGCCACTCTGCTCGCCCGAACGTCACAACCGGTATGGCACCGAGCCGAGCGCCCTCCGGTGTCAAATCCCGAAACCAGCATTTGGGCGTGAACATTAATGGTTATTTAAGTTGGCGATTTTCCTTCACTAGGCTTAGGACTAGCAGAAAAGTTTTAAAACTAATGTACAAAACGCACACAAATATTACAAATAAATGCATGAACGGAACGTCAAAATTAATGATTTTATAGATAATTACATAATGAACGGCACACACCACCAAGGTCAAGTGCGTACTTGTTGCATTTTGAAAAAAAATCAAATTCTAATCTTTCCATCCAAAACATAAACAAAATGTTGCCTAAACCAAATATAATATTGTCATACAAATCTAAGTCTTGTGTCTAATTTTAGAAAGATCATTTAAATTCCACAACTCTCACAACTACATAAACTTAAAAAATTGGCAATTTTAACATTTTAAAATTCGACCTTATTTTTAACGATCTTATAATTATATTTCACTACGTGCACCGTTGTGTGATAACTACCAAACATCGCAACGAAATCCATATTTGCTTCATCTCTTTCTATACGTATTTATGATACGGTCGCAAGAAAGAGAAACAACTAATATCAACGAAGGACACTGGTTAGTTCGTGGGCCGTGATAGCATATGGTTCCAGTTTGCGTTTTACGTTTCGTACGTTGGTTATAACACGCGTCACGTAAAAAGAACGCTGGAAGAAAGTGGTGGGAGTGTGTTTGCGCATGGGTACAGTCTTGTACGAAAGTTATGTGCCTATTAATTTATTTTTTAACTAGGCTTTCGCTCGCGGGTCGTGGCTTCGTACCTATATATTTGTTATTCTTATTAGTTATAACATTGATAAATATATTAGATAAAATATCAATAAAATGAATTAAAAACATGTTTGAATTATGTATTATAGAATGTTTAATCGAAATAAAATTAAAGTAATGTTGAAACTCCTTCCATTAAGTCATCATGCGTGACGTGAAAACCAGATGAGGACGCGGTGTTGGTGCTAGAAGTGGCCATTTCATCGTCGTCGCTGTCGTCACTCGAGCTTCCATCCTCATCTGAGTCGGAATCATGATCCCCTATGTGGATAGCAAATGTTTCTGTCATCATGTCCACCACATGATCGCTTTTACAGTAATCAGCCTCTATTTCTTTTACCTTCGTGCATAGCTTCCCCCATTCTGTTGCTCCCATTAAATTTACTTTTTCATGAATCAACTCAGTTATACGTGTCAGGTTCCAAGTTAGATTTTTACAGGCAACATAACTTTTTATTTGGGACCAGGCCATTTCAATAGGATTCAGGTCCGGGTGATATGGGGGCAAACGAAGTACAGAATGTCCTGCTTCGTTCAAAATAGCATCGATATTAAATTTCTTAAATTTATCTTTGCATTTTTTTATTAAGTTGTACAACTCCGGCTTTAGCATGGACTCTTCAAATTCAATACCTTTTTGACGAAGCCAGGTTTGCATGTCTGCTTTCTTTGAATTGGACGTTGGTGCAGAATCGAGTTGTTTATTGTGGTACGATGCATTATCGACTACCACGACTGAATTAGGCGGTAAATTTGGTATCAGTTGAGTACGGAGCCACCGCTCGTAATTTTCAGAATTCATATTGTCATGGTAGTCGCCGCTTTTTGTACCGGCTTTAAACGTCAGTAAAGCATTCGGCACAAAACCTGCATCGCCACCCGCATGCACTATGACTAAGCGGCTACCTTTAGATACAGGTTTTTTAATGCCCTTGGTGGAACCGTCTGTCCAAGCATGGTGAGACGCATGGGAACTATCGACGTATGATTCGTCAGTGTAAATGATAGGTCTTACTTCCTCTCTATATTTTTTAATCTTTCTCAGATATTCAATTCTTTGAAATCGAATTTGTGACTGCTCAATTAAGATTTTTCTATTGGTTTCCGTTTTTTTCCATTTAAAACCCAAGTTTTTCAATACTCGCCTGAGACTTGCTGCAGATCCTTGGAAATGTATGTCATCCTGTAACTTCCTTTGCAACTTGCCTATGGTAGGCAATTCTTTTTCAGTAACGTGAAAATTATGGACCATTCTTTTTATAACACCCTGGTCAAAGATGTTATTGGTTTTGTTTTTTTTCTTTTATTTTTGCCGGGAGTTCGGAAAACAGTAAGAAATTCCGAATCTTTTGAACCCTTTACTATTCGTCTCACTGTCGACTCGGAACATTTTGTTGCCTCTGCGGTCCGTTTCATACATTGTTTTAAATTATTAACTACATTATTATCAGCTTCCCTCTTCATAAAACAGTATACGTCATAAATCATTTTTCTCACTTCTCTATGTAAAACCATTTCGTAATTTAAAACTTTTGTGCGCGATGGTATTTTTAAAAGGAACGTAACGTGGATATACGCGGGAAGCAAAGCTCAACTGATGAACCAATAGCGCATCGGTAAACATGCGGCGCGTGGCTCACCCGCCCCGCGCCCTACCTCATACCACCAAGTAGACCGATAAATCGCCTATGCGCAGCTTGACCGCCAGCGTTCTTTTTACGTGACGCGTACTATAGTTGGCTTTGGTTGGATATGTGAATAATGGTTATATACATGGAAATACATGTAAGTACATTTTGGGCTGCCATATAACGGCTTTTAAGAATAATTCTAAAATAGGGGAAATATGTAGGAAGCTAGGCAAATAGTTCATCGTAAATCTTTATTATTTGACGCCTCTGTGGCGAAGTGGCTTAGCAATGAGTTGCTGCGCTGGGGGCCGCGGGTATGAATCCCGCACGGAACAAGTATTTGTATGGCCTACAAATAATTGTTCCGGGTCTGGATGTTTGTCCTTGTGCAATTTGTGTTTGTAAACTGCCTCCACCATACAGGAAAAAATCTTAGTGTGGGAGTAACTTGTTTTAACCAAAAAAAAATTAAGTGTTTGAAAGAAAAAGCAAACACTTACGTGAAAATTTGTAAATTTTTTTATGCTTATAATTCTTACCATACTGACAATTAAACTTATACTGAAATTCATAAATGGCTGTCAATGGGGTATTATCAGTCGTCACGTTGGCTATCCTATAGGGAACACAGGGGTTACAATGGGTTACTTACGGTCATTTGATTATTCCTAATGTTAATATTAGGAGTGTGGGTTCCAGTTTGTCTATACTTCCGTGGTTATGTACTTAGGTTTATCGATATGATATAATATTTGATAACATAACGTTATTAGTTACGTTTTGATATATCGGTCCATGCCTAGTCTGTGGTATGATCGATGATGACATCGATGTTGGCATCGATAGGTCAACATCTATGTTCGATGTTTTGCCTACTCAAAACAACGATGTTGACCATTATCGATGTTTTTTTTGTAAAATATGTGTAGATACTTACATAATGTTTCAAAATTACGTGGGTATACACAGCAAGGGAAAAAGTAACAGTTAACTGGAATATCAATTTACGTAGAATAGTTATTATGCGACAACCGACAACGGCACTACAAAATAAAGCGAAAGCAGTGACCACTGTGACATTACAGGTGACACTTGACTATTAAGTTTGACACACCATAATGATATTTTTTTTGGTTAGCAATGCATTCAGGAATTCTGAATTATTCAAAATTTTAAATCTTCAGAGGAGATGCAAGATTTAGTTGATATCGATTTCACGGGTTCGAATTGTTCGCAATGTTTCGATGTTCAAAATGTGTCAACATAGATGTTAAAACATCGATGTTTTCATTTTTAACACCGATGATCATCGATGTTCGATGATCATTGAACATCCATCCCTAGTCTGTGTATTTTTATGGTGTATCCACAGACTAATATGATACTATGGGTGTATCTATATCACAATTTTGGCCTAAAGGTCTAGATACCAGGCCATAAACTCCAAAAAAAAACTTATCTATATCACAGAGTATGAGAACACTTTTTAATCCATAGATAATATACTAATACTATATATGTTTTAATCTATATCTAGTTGCTGTGCAGTGTGCACATTTTCATTTTCAATATAATAATAATTTGATTATGGGGTACTGAGTTGATTGAACCCAATAATTAAGATATTTAGGTATTCTTGAAATTAAAATGTTAGAATAAAGCAGGTGTAACAACGATTAATTCGTTAACTCAATGAGTTAGTTATACGTTTATTCCCTTAGCCCCTCATCAAGAATCGTTCAATGTATGCGTTACAATAATTTCGTAATATAATCAAGGAACATAGTACTCTCGGACGAGAGCACTAAAAACAATAAATGAACATTTAGAAAGAAAGATGTACGGCATTAATGGATCAGATTTTCCACCCGTTTCAGAGGATACATTCTGTAAATACGTTTTGTATTATGAGATTAATAACTCGAGGTAATTATTATTGTTATTGTGGTGCACCAGAAAGTTTGTTTTTGTTATTGCCTTTACATTGTTCTGTCTCTTACAGAGTACGCATTTGGGATTTGATTATTTTAATACCTAACGCTTTGTTTGTACTGTTCTTAGTGGTAAGATTTAACAAAGCCCAGTTAAAATTACGTGCTACAAGTAGTCCTATATTTTTGACGTTCTACTCGTTAGTTTGGGGTAATGTTATCATCAGCTTAGTTCGATGTGCTGTATCCATGACTGTCAATGCTGTGGTGCCGTTTGGTGGATTGATTGATAAAATATTATGGGTTACAGTGAGATTTTTCCTCTTGGCCACAGAAATGAGTGTGGTTATATTTGGATTAGCTTTTGGTGAGTTTTAATCAAAGTAAGCTACAATGTGAAAGAAAAATTTATTTCATATAGTAAAACCTTTTTATAAAAATCAACTTTATATATTTTTCAGGGCATATGGACAGTCGAAGTAGCATCAGATATGTTCTGTTGGCTACTTCTTTAATATCCCTGGCGTTCACCATCACACAAGGAACACTTGAAATTGTAATGCCAGATGATGTGTTTCATATTGATACAAGAGATTATGATTTGTTTGGACATGGGGGAATGTTATTTTGGTTTTCATCATCCTTGGTGTTTGCTATTATTTACTTTATAATTCTGTTATTACCTTGGATTCCGCTCAGAGAATATTTGGCTTTACCAAGTAAGACAATTCAGTATTAATAGTTAAAAGCTTGAAAAAAAATTACTAGTATTAATAAAAAGTAAAGTGTTGATTGAAAGGATTGAATGAAACAGACAAGAAAGTATGGGATGCACAAGTGGGATTTAGAAAGGGAATGGGATGTACGGATCAGGTCTTTTCCTTGGGGTGCATAGCCGAAAAGTATTTGGCTAAAAACAAGAAAGTCTACTGCACGTTCGTAGATCTAGAAAAGGCCTATGATAGAGTGGTGAGGAATGAATTGTGGTCAGCACTGTCCGTGAACGGTGTGAGCAGTATCCTCATACGAGCAATGCAGTCTCTTTATAGGGATTCTAGTGCTTGTGTAAGGATAAACGGGGCATACACTGAATGGTTTAATATCGAAAAAGGTGTTAGACAGGGATGTGTAGCGTCACCGTGGCTGTTTAATCTGTTCATGGACAATTGTTTGACAGATTTAAAAGAGAATGAAAGTAAGGGTTGAGAATGAATGAGTTACTCGTCAAATGTTTTCTCTATGCTGATGACCAAGTATTACTTGCATCTTCGGCCGAGGAGTTGCAGGAGATGGTAACTGCTATGAGTGGAGCTTTTGTTAGAAAGGGAATGAAGATGAATGTAAGGAAGACGAAAGTGATGGTGTTTGAAAAAGATGAGGCAGTGACAGACTGCAACATTGTGATTGAAGATGAACAAATTGAACAGGTGAAAGAATTTGTGTATCTGGGTTCAAAGTTTACAAGAGATGGAAAGTATGAGAGTGATATCGAAAGAAGAGTGAATGCAGGAAACATGGTGAATGGAGCTTTGCACTCCTTTATGAGCAGTCGGAAGGTGTCTAACAAGGCTTGTTTGGCTGTGCATGAGGGGGTGTTGGTTCCGACACTCATGTACGGAAGTGAAACTAGGGTATGGCAGAAGAAACATGAAAGCAGAATAAATGCAGTTGAGATGAGAGCATTAAGAAGTATGATAGGAGTTTAACTGAGTGACAGGCTAAGAAATAGTGAGATAAGGAAACGTTGTAGTCTGAAAGAAGATGTAGTGACAAAAATTGAGATAGGTATGCTGAGATGGTTTGGCCATGTCGAGAGAATGAATGAAGAACGATTGACGAAAAAAGTGTATAAGGCGAGTGTGAATGAAAGTGTTGGAAGGGGTAGACCTAGGCGGACATTTCTAGACCAAATCAGGGACGTCTTGAAAAAAGGCCAGGTCAAGAGTACCCTAAACCGTAGAGCATGTATGAAGGGAATAATGAAAGTGGACGAAGCAAAACAAGTATGTAAGGATCGTAGCAAGTGCAAAGAACTGGTCTCTGCCTACCCCTACGGGAAAGAGGCGTGATTATATGTATGTAATAAAAAGTAACAAATTCCAAAGAGTTAAGATGGTATTTCCACTTTTTTTAAATGCCCTTTGTCAAAAAAAGGTAGTGTTTTACTTTACAATTTCTGACTGCAAATAGTATTTCTACATACAAATACAATTACCATCACAATCTATAAAAAGTCCACCACTGAATTTATGCAACCCCCATAGATTGCCTCATAGCAGGTATATTTTCCATAGTTACTAAGTTTGGCAGGTGGGTTGGCATGTGCAGTATTTTATTATTTTGAGTTATAATTAGATAGAAACTGCCGCCCATCTCCCGTTTCATTTCCCCCTGTAGCCTTTTACGATACTCTTGGGATGATATGGGGCTGATATGATGGATATATACATTTAAATAACATTTGTGATTAAAATTTTTGTGATTTCATATATTAGAGCCAATGTGATTACAAACAATCAAAAGTTGAAATCCTTTACAGAAACCTTAGTAGAGAAAGGCTCCTATTTATAAAACAAGCTACCTACTAGTTTTAAGCCGTGTCTTTTTTATGCAGAAACAAGTGACAATGAAATCAAGGCCAGTTTTTATTAATGTTTTGTGGCCCACATAGTTTTTTTCGTGTTACAAACTTACAAAAGAATGGTATTTTTACATTTACTTCAATATTATTTCTTAATTTCTTTTTATAAAGATTTGTAATTATTCCAAGAGATAGATCTTAGATACTTGAAATTATATTTGCACTTACCAGTGAAACATTGTTTAAGTATATATTTATATACTTAATATATACTATATATTGATTTCTTTGACAGTCTGTTATTTTCAAAGTATGTCAGCTCCATGACTTACATCTTTAAACACTTTTTTATTTTTATTTCTTTTTTTTTTAAATCTATAAACTAGTTGATCAGGTATTGAATATTAAACCGCTTCTTGGTTGACGATCGACTAATTTATTTTTTAACACTTGTACATGCACTAGAATTATAATTATTATATAGATATTATTGTGCTCGTGTAAGTGACAATTGCTTTAATGTGAAATAAAGTTCTTTAAACTGAAGTAGTACTGAAAGTCTGTATTATATTATATTCTTTGCAGTTGTTTAGCTACATCATTGAAAGCATAAGTTCAATTGATATTCATAACAGCTTATTATAAAGAGAGCCAGCGATAAGGGCAAGTTATAATCTAGGTCCGAAGGAATCCCTTACAGAAAAATTTAAAGAAATAAATATATTAATTTTGGCATCTCAATATATTTACGAGAATTTAATGTATGTACACAAAAACAAAAATAGTGATGTACATTCTGTAAATGCTAGGAACAAGCACACGTTAGTTATACCAGTTACTTGACTCCAAAGAATCAGTAACTCCTTTATGGGGCAATATACGCTAGTTACTTAAATTACGCTTGTTGTATACGCTTTTAAATCAAAGTCCCAGAATATTTGCAAAGCTTTTCTATCAAAAGGTTTAAATTATTTACTAAGTAAAAATTGTTAAGTAAGGGTTATTATACTACTAAAGAGTACATGACTGATAATAACCCCTGGGAATGAGGTGATTGCTACTATGCTGTTTCAAAATATTTCATAACAGTTGTATAAAGTATTATATTGTAAATTGTGCTTTTTTTCAACAAAAAAAAAGTCCCACTAGGTTTCTTGCTGATTTTTCCCAGGACAGAGGTTTTTTTGCCAACCATTGGTAAAAGTAAAAAATGACTTTCAATAAGTATTATGTATTGTAATCAATATTAAATAAAAATTATTCTATTCTATTATTATAAATCTTTAATTTATCCAATAATAATACTGTTTACATATTAATGATGAAATGTCTTAAATAAGTTTTAAAGTTATTTAAAAATAAGCATATCAATTATATTGTAATATTTCAATTTCAGCAAAACTCTCATTTTACTTATACATTCTACTATTGGCTCTTTTGGACACAACTCAAGCAGTGGGAGCAGGTCTCCTAGCATGGGGATCTATGCAGTCAGGGTTGTGTGTTGTTGATGTGACTACGTGGCTGTACTTTTCACTTTACACTCCCCTGGTTTATCACACTTTCCTCAGTGAATTCTTCAGGTACCTACTCATTTTTTACATTATAAATAAAAAGGCTCTGTACTGCTTGTTACAGAATTTTTTTATTATTGCGAAGATAATGAAATGGCAAGAGTTTTTTGCACTACTTTATTGCAAGTGTATGTTGTCAGTAACATGTTGCATGCTGGAAATTTTATTTCTACAATAATTTTAAGGACATACAATCTATAGTTTGAATGTAAATTGTCACATAAAGAAACAGTGTTATATCTTTATATATAAAAATTATGTGTCACATTGTTTGTCCGCAATGAACTCTTAAATTACTCAACTGATTACAATGAAATTTTGCACACTGTGTGCAGTTTGGTCCAACTTGAGAGATAGGATAGTTCTTATCCCGTTAAGTGACCCTCAATATTTTTTATTGGTTATTTAAGGATTTTTATAGGACAAAGTCGGAGAGGGCAGTACGATGTCTGCCTGGCCAGCTAGTATTATATATAATGTGTCATTAAATATAATATTAAATTAATACAAAGACAGTGCTGGTTTTTTGATGACATTCTGTGTACTAGATTATTAATTGCAGATTAAAATCATCTCAGTGTACTCAGCCACCAAATAGTTATGTCATAACATGGCAAACCAAAAGTTCAATACAAACAAATGCATTTGATTTGCGAGAAATCGGTTCATCCATCAACACAAACACTTACAAAATGTAATTAAATCATCTACTGTCTTTTATGTGTTAAGTCTAGTCCTTTAACTAAATTCAAATAATATTTATTAAATTGTTATTGAAAGACTTAAAAAAAAAACATCTTTTACGTGATAGCGTTAACACTCATTACTAAAAATTAGTAAAACATCTAATTATGCATTGCAAAATATTAATGTATACAGGGTATTTTTGGAACGCTCCCGAAAACTAAGACAGGCGACAGCACCAAGTATACCTTTGATCATGGGTCATAAATAAATTTGATCCTGATGAAAAAAAAAACATATTTTTACAACGTTTTATTAGCTTTATTCACGCGCCATCATGTTAGTACAGCTAAATGAAACGATAATTTCATAAAAAAAATCATGAAAATACTGAAACATAAAACCAGCAGTGGAAACTGAATTGATATCACCTGACTAATGGAGGTTAATGTACGCGCGAACGGTGAAAAAAGAACGCTGGCCTTGAACTTGGGCACTGAGCGATTTATCACATATTGGCCAGTATTACTGTGCCTGCATGCTATTGGTTCCCGCGCTTTGTTCGCTCCAAAAATACAGTCGCATACACAGCTTACTTTGCGACTCGCGACGATGTTTTAAAAAGGAAGGAAAAAAAATTATTTATATCTATTGTTTTATGACTAAACTAGTGAACGAAAAGGTAAATATGATAGGAGAAGGTGAATGGGGAAAATTGTGCAGTAAAGTTAAAATTGTTGAGGAAGAATACTGAAAAAATTACCATGTGATCGACCTGATGATGGAAGCTCAAGCGAAGATGAAAGTGATGATGAAGTAGCATCCAGTAACACCAACACACCATCAACATCTGGCTTCCATGTGACCCAAGACGTCATAATGGACGGCGTGTCACCCTTAGCTTAAGTTTTTTTGTTACAAACTACTTTATATTTTACGATAGAAATAACAAACAATGCTCAAGTAAACATTATCTATTTTTAATTCCCACCTCTTCCAAAGTTCTAAGTAGCTAGTAAAACACCTATTATGATTCTACAATAAAACAATTAATTACTATAATATTATAAAACAATAGCCCAATACCATGTAGTACTTTAGAACGCGACTGTACCCACACTCACTCCGCTGTCGACCTGTATCTAGCTCGGTATGAAACAATGCTGCGGTCATAAGAAAAAAAGGCGCATCTAACAATTTTCGAATAAATTACCATTCGACTCATGATAAGAAGACGCATCTACTAATTTTTTTTAATATTCACTAATATCAATATTTTAGAAATTATCGTCAGAATTTTAGACGTAGCTGTTGATCACAGATGACATTTTAATAGTAGAAAAGACTTATACAAATTCAACATAAAAGAAAAGACTTATTTAACCAGTTGCTACGTCATCTTTAACAATATTTGCATCGATTACTTAAATTAAAATTATTCTTGTCTTATTATTTTATATCTTATTATTAAGAGCTGATGTTTCACATGTGGTCCCATATAAATTTGATCGAGGTCAGACCAATAGTTTTTGAGTTATCCTTAATTATTTATATTAAAGTCGGTTGTACAAATGTTTTAATTTTTAATTATTATCGTAGTAAGTCTTGTATGATATCCCCTTTAAAATCATTACTCAAGAGTTGCGGGTTGTTATTTTTTGTGTCTCACTACCAATGCTTTTCTAATATTTACTAAGAAAAAAGTAGTAAATTACTATTAGCGTCCTTTCAACTTCAAATGACCTTTCCAAAATATGTAAAAATGTTAAATGAATGGTAGTTTTGTTTTATTTATTAGGTTGGGAAGACCCAAATAGTTATATGCGTCTTTCCTTCGATGTTTTTGTGTTGCCAGGTGTACTTTTTTAATCTAATCTAAATAAACAAATTTAAAAAAAAAATAAGTTCGTCCTTAAAATCTTCATGTCTCTACGTATATATTTCAATATAGATACCTTTTAATATACTTTAGACACGGGGTCTGAAAGAAAAATTCATCAATTTATTTTTTATTTCCATTTTACGTTTTTGTTAGTTACTTCCTTTTTTATTATGACGGCAGAATGCCTAACCCTGTCGCCTCACGCTTGTGACGCAGTAGGTTTCAGCCTTGACGGGGTTCGTTCGTTTTAGTTTTTGAGACAGTTCCGTGTTGATTTTGTACACGCGTGCGCGAGCGACAGTTCAATCGTTTTGTTTAATAAATTTACTTGTGATTACGTGTTGATATTAAAGTTTTTGTTACGTTTTTGGATTCTTTTTTGTTTTAATAATGCCTAACGCGTACGTTTATAGTGGTCAACATGTTAGGTATCCGAACCTAGGTACACGAAGTATCGCTAAATAAATTGTTAAGACGTCGGGATGGTACAAGTGTGTCATACTGTGCAGTGCACAAAGTGTTGAAGCGTAACCAATGCGCCCATACAAATTGCACAAAGTGCAAGCTTTAGTTCCCGGCGATCACGACCGCCGACGAGTTTTCTGCCGTTGGTTATTATACCAGCAACAACGTGTGCCTGGTTCCATTGAGCACATTATCTGGACGGATGAGTCGACATTTACCAGAAACGGCCTGTGGAACCGAAGAAATACACACGTGTATTCAGAGGTTGACCCGCACGCTGTTCGACAAACCGGGCACCAAACCCGATGGTCGGTTAACGTATGGGCAGGTTTATTTAAGGATCGCATACTGGGACCAGTGTTTCTGCCAGAGCCACTGAACGGACAGCGATACCTAAACTTTATAAATGAACAGTTGGTTGACATTTTAAACGACCTATCGTTGGCTGAATATCGCCGCACATAGTTCCAACATGATGGTGCCCCTCCACATTTCGTGAGGTTCATCCGTGAGCGCCTCAATGAGCTATTTGATGATCGCTGGATCGGCAGACTAGGACCACACGCTTGCCCACCTCGCTCACCAGATCTGACTCCGTTAGACTTCTTTTTGTGGGGTATGTGAAAGAAAGGGTTTTTAATCGTGAATGTGATAGTGCTGAAGAAATGCGCCAAAGGATCGTGGATGCTTTCGAGAAACTACGTACGGACTGTGTCGAAGACCACACGATGATGCCCCGCCTGCACCCAAATCTGCCTTGAAATGAATGGAGCACAATTTGAGCCGCATCTCATAAGACCACGGAGGATTTAGAGCAGTAAGCTGTTTCATAACTATTTTTTTTTAAATAACTTAGTACTAGACTAATCTGAATAGGTACATAACTGAATATATGAGAATAATAAACATACCTACACGATGAATAAAAACGCATGACTCCAACCTTGGTTACATTTCATTTAAGTATTTCTTCATTAGCGGGGAATCGAACCAGTTATTTGGGTTATTTAACCTGTAAATTCGGATTAAAGTGGCTACGTGGAGATAAGCACAGTGGCAAAATAGTAGGTTAAGTAGATAAGTTAGGTATTTAGACACGTGTTGTAAATTATTATATTGTGGGATGGCCCGCTAGTTGCGGGCCGCGCGAATTTGTGTTCGCGCGTACATTGACCTTTATCTAGCTCAGGTCAGGTGATATCAATTCAGTCATTCCACTGCTGGTTTTATGTTTCAGTATTTTCATGATATTTTTTATGAAATTATCGTTTCATTTAGCTGTACTAACATGATGGCGCGTGAATAAAGCTAATAAAACCTTGTAAAAAGATGATTTTTTTTTCATCAGGATCGAATTTATTTGTGACCCATGATCAAAGGTATACTTGGTGTTGTCGCCTGTCTTAGTTTTCGGGAGCGTTCCAAAAACACCCTGTATATTGATACACATTTAGGTCATTGACAAAATACTAACAAAAATGTAAGGAATCTCCGGATTCTGTCGCACACACGTCTTTTGTAGAAATTTGGCACTGCTCACTCACTTTAATTTAATTAATAATTCTTATTATCTGTGACCCTGTTAATTGACTTCTTCATTTTAGATTTTAGTATAGGTTGATACAACATTATTCATCGGCAAAGTATTGATAGATCTATAAATAAATATGCACGAGTTGTTTTAACTTGCATATTGTACTGAATATCTAATAATGCCATATCAAATATTATGTGTTATCACTTAATGCCATCAAAACAGCAACACATATTATATTTTGTATGTTGTTAAATTAAAATCCTTTCATTTAAAACCATTTGCTTTTTGTTATTTGTTGTATAGACTAAAACCTACAATTATGAATTATTTCTTAGTTTGTACCAACAAATTAAGTAAACTTTTTTATTTTAGTGTGTCACAGCCAAGTATTATGTTTTCCTACAAGGCTCAAATGGATGAACCTATGGATGATGATCAAGTATCACTGCCGCATCAACAGAGTTTCAGTTCTCTTAAGACAGATTCTGATTATATATATCAGGTAATAGATGTTTAAAAGCTATCATAATTTTATATTTCCATAAACATTGTGGTTTCTCTGCATAATAAAATCATATATACTTATTGAATAAAACTATTTTTACGGATTTTATCGCGTTTAATTAACTTATTTTATATTCCTGACGTTTCTGGGAGGCTGGGTACTACCACCTGCTTGGGATCCTGTAATTCATAAAATTAAAACTAAACCCAAGCATACCACTGCAAGACTTCAAGACACAGTTAGTTCATTCTGCGTAGATCGGACCAAAATTAATAATTAAAAAGCTGAAGGTACTCCGGGTTAACTTTGACATCGAGACGTCAATCACCTCAGGCCCCCGTGACCACGGTTGCTGGAAAGCAACCGAAACGTCGGGAATATAAAATAAGTTATTTAAACGCGATAAAATCCGTAAAAATAGTTTTATTCAATGTGTAGTGTTCGCGTAAATATAAGAAATCATTACATATATACTTAATTAAATTCGTAACAAGGATGCCTGGGCACTATAACAAGAGTAACTCATGTAGCCTGAAGTGGCAACTTGCTCCTAGATCCGATAAGGATGAAATGTTCTTCAAAGACGACCTCATACTGGCCCTTCCCAAAAATAGAGTATGTACGGAGGCTTTAGAGCAGGAGGCGCAAGACTGTCCATTGTTGTAACTGAGTATATACAGAGATGTTTCCTTTCACCAGTGGCTTATTTTGTAATCAGATTATCAATCAATCGGTAGATATGGCATGCAAGGCATTAATGTTAATACTCAACTATCAATATATTCTGATATCGCTTATTTTCCGTGGATTTTTATGTCAAATTTTGACGACTTTCTCGATTCTAATAAATTTTGGAAACAGAGAAATGATAATTTGAATAAAATAGACATACAAATTGTTTAAATATTCTATAATGTAATGTATTTTTAGTTTTAACAAATGTTTTTAACAAGAAAGATATCAAAGATAATAAAATCTACTATCAAAGATAATAAATTTTTCTTACGTGGTAGAGCCATGCTACAACTATATTAGTATTATAGTTGTAGCACGAATGGGTCGGCTCGACCGGGGAAGGACCACGTTCTCACAGAATACTAGCGTAAAATAGCAGCTTAACACTGATGTGTTTCGTATGGTGAGTTTAGAGAACCGGAGACCCTTTTTACTGGAAAAGAGGCATTCCATCGTAGTCGTCCCGGGTGATAACGCATCTACATTTTGATTCTTTATTGAGGATATATGTAGATGTCTATGGGTCACAGCAACCACTTACTATCAAGTAGACCGTGTGCTCGTTTGAGACCCTATCCTATAAAAAAGTAATGGTGGTATTATAAACATAAAATCTCACACTCACGCTTGTCACCCAGAAGGGTAGGCAGAGACTACGGACTTTTCTTTGGCATGAACCTGACACACCTCCCTTGCATACTATATATACTATCTATCTAAGCATATGCTCGCCAATTTGGTCGAAAAACTTTCGTCTAGATAGTCTCTTGCTGACTTTGGCTTTAAGATACCAGTGGTAGTAATATTAAAGAAAAAACAGCTGTTGCCCTTCGCATTACCGTTACAGTCTATCTAAAGTCTACTGCTGAATATAGGCCCTCACCATAGACTGCCTAATAGGGATGGAATTATACAATTATATTTGCCATGCTTGCCAAGAGTAAGCAGCTATAGCAAATATAATTTTATGGTTTACTTTGTTGTACACAGCTGCAATAAACTACGGCGTGTTTTATATGGTCCACCTTCTTGAAAATAATATTACGAACTTATCAAAATACCTTTATCAAGGTACCTTTGAATCGACGCGTGAGGTGAAAGAGGTTTCCCATCAATAAATAGAGCTTGTGACATGGAAAAATTATGAAACATTTAGTTTCCATACAGAACAGTATTTGCGTTATGTGCTGACGGACAGACGCAAGCTCAGTAGATTTTTGATTAGTGAGTCAATTAATCAGTGAGTAAAGGATAAAAATGGCAATTCTGAGACCTTAATATGACAAAAACTATAATTGGTTTATTTATGAAATTTGAGATTCTAAGTGTTCACTAGACATGCAAAATTACAAGTGTTGTAAGTCTAATAAATTTTAAAGTTTTGGGGGTCGAAAGTAATGCTGCATGTTTTGTGTAATACTTAGTGTGATTAGAATTGAAAAAATTTTAAAAGATTCTCTCATAAAAATAAATACTTTCGGTTAAAATCATTTAAACTTTACATTACGCCATATAACACGCTTCGCCAATTTTTGCTATCTCCACATAATATTAACTTTTTTTATAGGATAAGGGTGACAAAAGAGCACACAGCACCTGATGATAAGTGGTTGCTGTGGCCCATAGACATCTATATCTATCATCGTTCACGAATGGGTCGGCTCGACCGAGGAAGGACCACACTATCACAGAATACAAGCGTAAAATAGCAGCTTAACGCTACTGTGGTTTGTATGGTGAGTGTAGAGAACTGGAGACCCTTTTTACTGGATCTTAGTCCTCACGAGTGACAACACATCTGTATTTTGATTCTTAACACTTTCACTGTCTGATTTGCAGACACAATAGTAAGACAATAGCCCATATGTGGGTCACGGGACAGTGAACGTGGTAATTGTGGATTAGATGTAGACGTCTGAGTCTACTTAGCCAATTGAGCTGTCAAATATTATATAAGTATTTGCATACTTTTAATATACCATTTTTCCAGCAGAGTAATAGTGTATATGACAGTACATTATTTGAGGCTGGAGGCACAACACCTATGAACCCAGTATACAGTGCATCTTTACAAAGTCCCGACTCAATAGCATCAGGACAGTCAATAGATATAGGAGTAGCGCCATCAGCTTTCCAAAGCCAGCATATGCCATCAACATAACAGGTATTAGAAAATTTCTCAACCAATATTATAATATATATAGAGATCATGCATCCAAAGAAATACATTAATAATTGTAAAAATTAGTTATCTGTGACATGGAGTAAATCGATGAAGCACTATTTGCATATGAAATATAGTGTCTAATATAGTATAGAAACTTATTTCATTTTATCCTTACACTAAAACTTCAACTAAGTGATTACGTATTTGTGATGTACTAATACCAGTGATCAAAATAAACTTACTTGAGACTGTATTACATCCCAATTTTGCTTTAATACTTAGAGTTATGCAAGGGATCCATCCATGTAACTTTCATACAAGAATAAAGCTTGAATGACTATTTTGTACATAGAAAAATAGTCATTTATGATGTTTTATGAACTTGTTAATTTAGTTGTTATTAAAAGAAATTATCATCTGTAATAGATTGCAATGAAATGTATCATGGGCATTAATGGTTATATTATGATTTTACAAAATTCTCAAAAATCAAGCAATAAAAATATAATTTAATAAAATAAGTTTTTGTGTTTTGTAATATTAAAGAAAAATGTAAACTCTTAATAAAAAAACCGATATTTTTTTATTAAAGTGTGGTTTAATTAATAGTTAAATAGTAAACATTTTGTTTAATTTTATTGTAAAGTTACTTGTATATCTTAATACAAATTGTATGTTTTTTGTATATTATATATCTTTTCACATATTGTTATTACCACTTTAGTTCTCTTCTGTCTTAGAAAGTTCATGCAGATTTGTATTGAATACCCAGATATAAATCCATTGATAAAACTCCATATTATTGATGTTTATATAACTTCAACAGTATTTATTGAATTTATTAAGTATTATAAATGAAATTCATTTGTAAGATTTATATTAATTTATCATGAAGAGTGGCTGGTGCAAGTTTGATTAAAAAGCGAAATTGGATTTATTTTTAAAAAATACACTTTTATTTGTTTTATTCCTATATATTATTCTTTAAAATTTATTATATATATATATATATTATTAAAGTTGTAATGTTTCTTATTAAGGAAATATGATTTTTTTTTAAATTTTATTATAATTTATGACAAATTAACTACCATATAAGTTACATGTAACCTACTTTTTAAAAGTCAATTTATGTAATTTTATTTAACGTAAAAAAATAAATTGTATTACAACAATAAATAAACAATGTTATACTAAACGGACAGTATTAACAGCAGTGTAAGCGAGCGTCGCGTAATATAATGACGCATCGACGTTACGATCTGTGCACGATTTTCCTTTGGTATGTACCAAATATTTGGTGGCCCAGGCTGAATTACCGTTTGTATCATTATCTGAATATTATATTTAGCTTCATACTAAATTTATGTTAGACCTATTTGTGTATACCAATATGATTCAACCCACAAGACGACGAAAATGTGAAAAGCTTAAAAATTGGTTCTTTCAACGTTTTATATTATCATTATATAATTGACTGTTCGTTGGTCTAGTGATCGGCTCGTAGTGGCTTCAAATTCCAAGTCGGGCCAAAATCATTTATCGGGTTTTCTGTCTAGAAAGTATCAGTACCAGTCCCGTGTCAAGAAGTTGGCGGTGTTTCACTCCCGTCCGTCCCGTCCCGAAAACAGGTAAAGTCCTTGCTTCTACGCCTGATTACTCTCCGGTCGTGTCGGTGCCCTGTGCTTGCGCGCACACTCATGCACTATAATCCGCTGGGACTCCCGTTACCGTCGCGACCAAAATTCAGTACGGAGGGCAATTAACATCTGGCGGAATATTAATTAAGACTTTTTTAGGTTTGACCACTAACTTAAAAGAGAAGATCTCACGCCGCGCAAGGCGTTCCGACCGGGAAGGAGCCACGATCTATGTCATTTATTTAAAAGAAAAAGTGACCACCAAACTAGAATTATGTCTTGTATAGTGAAGGCAGTTTACGAACATAAATTGCACAAGGACAAGTATACACTACCATATTTGTTCCGTGCAGAGTCGAATCCGCGATCCTTAGCGCCGTAATTCATTGCTAAGGCGCTGCGCCACGGAGCCACAGTTGTTGGAAAATTTCACTAGCTCGACACACAATACTCTACTCAGACCGGGAGTCGATAGTGAATGTTATATGGTGCTGCGTCCGATATACAGTTAGATAACACATGTACGTGACCATAATGTATGCGTGTACGTAAGGGCAAGTGACGGCGTTAGTTCTTCGTTATTGTTCGGTCATATTATAGTTTACACTGTTTTTTTTTTATAGGATAAGGGTGACAAACGAGCACACAGTCCACCTGATGGTAAGTGGTCGCTGTGGCCCATAGACATCTACATCTATCTTCGATTAAGAGTCAAAATGCAGATGCGTTGTCACCCGTGAGGACTAAGATGGAATGCCTCGTTTCCAGTAAAATGGGTCTCCGGTTCTCTACACTCACCATACGAAACACAGCAGCGTTAAGCTGCTATTTTACGCTGGTATTCTGTGAGAGCGTGGTCCTTCCCCGGTCGAGCCGACCCATTCGTGCTACAACCATAATATAGATGCAGCATGGCTCTACCACGTATAATGTGTTTTGTTAACGCGAAGGACATTTGCTATTATATTCCCTTCTCATTTCTTTAGCAACCAAAGTGACTTAAGAACTTTTTTATGTTATCTGACTGTCTCTTGTGTCCTGTCTGTCTTTTTTTTTCTTTTAATGTTTTATCCACTTTTCGCTTTGCTCTTGTTTCGTTTTTTATATCTTTTGAATTTGATTGTTCATCTCGGAATGCTTTTTCTTTTGTTGTATTTTCACGAATGTTCTATGTTACTATATTATAATAGATAATGCGGGTTACAATCTTCTGGCAGGTTCTACCATCCGTTTATCAGTCTCGTTTGTCAGTCAGTTGAATAATTGACATTTGAAGATAATAATGTTATTAACTATTCTAATAAATCTAGATTCACTTAATTTAATTTATACATTTTGTGTGCGGTATTATAGGTTATTTTATTTGATCGGGCCTTGTATTCCCCAGGCTCGATGTTTGCCCTCTACCTGTTATCGGATAGAACATTTTTTTTTTCAAATATAATAAAGATATAATGAAACACATACTTGGCAACCGAAAACTGAAGTTCTTTATCCAAGTTGCTTACTTATAAAAAAAAATATTAAAATTTTATTCCCAATTTTTAACTTAAAAATTTCTTCTTTCAATTAAACGCCATACCGCTTACAACATTATTCGAGCACATGTATTCGTCACTCAAGTGTATATTAATTGTTTTGTGTAAAGTAAGCTCGCATCTTTACTAGCGTAAAATGCTGTTGTACGCTTTTTACTAGTAAGTAGCCATTGCATTATAGGATTCAAGGGTTCATTTATAACACTATTATTGGATCCGGAAATAAGATATGAACAAAGACTTGCACCAGGAACTTCACTGTGTAAATTAAAAAAAAATGTAAATACATATTTTATAACATAGAACCTCAGAGCAACAGAGAAAAAAAGACGCAACACTACGTATATTTCGAGTAACGCAAAAACCACCAAAACCATGCTCAACTCATTGTAAGAACGCGCACTCACGTACCTACCTACCTACACATATGCATCCAAAATCATATGCATCCAGTAGTAACTTTTTCCGACCGATAAAGAAAGAAAAAAGTAAGTGTGCGTGAGTCAAGATATTATTTAGCATGGTTTCGCCATCACTTGAAATATACGTAACGCTCCGTCTTTCTTTGTGGGTCAAAGTAAAGAACATGCAATGTTTTATAGCGTATAATGAAAACCGAGTGTATAGTGTTTAAATAATTTTATTATATTTTTATAATTTTATAATATTTATTGAGGATAAATGTAGATGTTTATGGGTCACAGCAACCACTTACCATCAGGTGGATTGTGTGCTCGTTTGTCACCATATCCTATAAAAAAAATATTGACTCTAATCGGACTTTAACATTTATATACTGTGATTATTTTATCTACTTATTATTTTGTTGTTACTTTATTAATATTTTATAGTTTAAGTTGATTGCAGATCTGATCTGATGTAATTATTTGTGCGATCCGGTATATCATCGTTTCATATTATTAGGCGATTTTTAGAAAAATATTTTAATTAGTTTCAATAACTGAAAAGCTTTATTTTCAACTCTTCAATATAAAAATTAGTTGTTCAATAAATAATTGAGGCTGTAGGTTGATAACGGTAACAAAATTAAAATAAGATCTAGTAAGTTAAGCTAAATTAGAAGATTTAATGCGCGGTATTAAAATTTCATCAGATTTAAGTGTATCATTAACCTGTGTTTATTTGGTTGTTTTAATTAAATGTATTAAGGTAAATGACGAGTTTGAAACTGTATATTTTTGGTGTTAATAAGCCTGGCTTATTATATCTAGTCTTACATAAATATATACTATAAATTATAGTTTAGGGGATTACAACCTTCTATTATTAATTTCTATTGATTTTTGATTTTTCCATTCATGTCTAAGTTTAAATGTAAACGATTCAATTTGTACGGCAAGCTGCAATATGTAAAAAATATGCGTTCTAAGGTTGGATAGACTTTTTATGAGTGTAAGAAATAATAACTTTTAGGAGTGCAGACAAAAAATATAAACCTGGTGCTGATGCATGTCTACAGCGTACAAATGGGAAATATATAAATAGTTACTTTAGATTTCATGTTTCCTTTACATATTGTTGCATATTATAAACAAGTTTAAGTCTGTATGCAGGGCAGGTGAAAAAACGGATAATGATCTATAAGCGTACTGTATGTGTAACTAACTCTTTTGTCTTTTCCACACATCTTTTTTTGTTTTACCTTCGGTCTAATCTATACCTACTGTTATGAAGGGGTATATATTTAAGGTTGTTTGTTAAAAATATCAACGAAGTTCATGGCGACGTAAAATCTATAAATGGTTTTAGTGGGTTACAAAAACCTATAAAAACGTAACAAAAACAAAATTTAACA